GTGCTTTATTGGATGTAAGATCCCGAGTTCTCATATCATAGTGCATTGTACAGCATAACACGTCAGGGAGAGATTTGTGAGTATTTCCAACAGAGAAACAGTCGGCACAGGACCCAACTAGAACCTTCTTCAGCCCCAACTTCACGTTCAGTCTCCTCATAAGCAAATAAAACTAGCATATTTAGAAAAGAATGTATTCGTAATTGCTCTCATGACAGGCAAAAACAATGTTCTAGGGAATAACCACAATGAATTTACCTGTGTATAACAATCACCCTAGAGGTTGCTGGTTTATGTCGGTGAATCTCAGAATTAAAAAATGTCTGGAGGGAAGGAGAAGAGACTTTGGCAATGCAGAGAGAAAGAGGCTGGCTACAACTGAGTGAGTACGTTAATCTTCATGAAATTGATCAGCTTTCATCTGCTTCCTGCTAATGTCTTTTTGTTTCACAAGTTCAAGGACTTAAAGGCTGTGCTACTGTCTTTATGGCCGATCAGTATGTTAGAGATTTAAATATCTAAATGTGTGCCTGTGCCAATATTCCCCATACTTCTGTTTTTCTTTTTCTTTTTCTTTTCTTTTTTTTTTTTCCTTTTTGTCTTTTTTCGTTTAGTACTTCTGTTTTTCTTTTTCTTTTTCTTTTCTTTTTTTTTTTTCCTTTTTGTCTTTTTTCGTGTCGGGCAACAGATCACAACCCTCAGTGTCGTGCCCGTACCGGACCGGGACCGGCAACGGGATCGCAACCCTCGGTGCTGCGCCCGCACCTCACTCAACCAGTGAGCGGGAACCGGTCTGTATGTGGGATCTGAACCCTCGGTGGGCTGGCTCACTGTAGCAGTGCGCCACCGGGCCGGCCCAATATTCCCCATACTTCGAAAGAAATGTTCCCATGATGTAGTAACTTTCACTTAGTGTGATAATATATCATTTGAAAAATTTTGAGTAAAAGCTTCCTTAACTGTATTAAGTATGGGAGTTAACTAAATTTTCTGAGTGAGGAAAGAAAGGGCTTATGTATACTACAGATGACTAATAACACAGACAACTCCTCAGACCAAATGACAAGAAAAAAATGTAAAGTCATATGGATCTCAATATTAATTAATCCAGTAAAAAGGAGTATGTGACAGTATTAATGAATCATGGCACATATACATTAAAAAGTAATTCAGAACTTATCCATAATACAATTTGTCTTCAAAAAGTTTATGGGAAAGTTTGTATTATCATTTAATTGCATTTTTCCATGAACTTTTTGAAGTACCCTTGTATAACCACTCATAGTAATATAGAAGCCTTCACATAGTATGAGCCTAGTATTGGTATAATTAGTCTGGGGCAATATGTTAAAAGACTAAGAACTAAAATTGTTCCAGGTAACAAAATTGTACTAAAAACGATTTTTTCTTTACATCTAAAAAATGATGATTAAAAGCGACTAACTATACCTATCACAACAAATAAAAAACATCCTTAAATACATTAAAAAATTAAATGTTTTCAAAAAGGCATTAAAGGATGTGTTGTGTAAGTTATATGTATGTATATCTATAAATTAAAGAATAATTTTGTTCCACCTTCATTAAAATTAAAATGAAAGCATAGGTCACAAATTCTTTAAAATCCTAGGGTATTTATTATTCAAAGGGATAAGAAAGACTAAATGGAGTGGCTACATTTGGTAGTGTGAAGAGCACAGTGGAAGAAGAACCTTAAGCCAAGGGGAATAAAGATTTTCCTTTAACTCTGACTGAATATATGATTTGTTTTCTGTAAATATAACTACAGTTTCCATTGTATGTTTGGTCTTTAATGGTTAAGAGAGCCTGTAATATGAAATTTTTAACTACAAAGGCTGTAGTCTGTAACCTTAGTGTTTAAATTTACTATAGGAACTACATATTAAATGTTTATTATAGAAATGTGTTTGTATTTCTAAAGTTAAAAATGATACAACTTCAAATTTGTCATAGAAAATTACATTTGCTAAACGACGTCGTGATAACAAACCCATTTTTTATTACCTCATTGGCCTTATTACCATTTGCCTCAACGTAAATTTTCTTGCCAGTTAGAAAAATGTATAGACTTATAATCTGAGTTATTTTTCTTCTTGTGTGTTGTTCAAATAAAATAAATGCTGTTTACAGATGCTGTTTTTCTTCACTAATAAAAGGAAAAACATTGGTTTTTCCATATAACTCAGAGATGAACAGCAAAAAGAAAAAAAACACACCTTAATTTAAAAGTTGAACGTTAGTCATGTTTGTTCCTAGACCTGCCACTGGGAAGTGTTCACTGTTTCCGTCTACAATTCAAGTGCTGACCTACTAACATTACACACTGGGTCCAATTTCACCCTCCTTTGATATTTGCTTCTTTTTTCTTCAGCTCCTTTGCCTCCTACATCCAAAATATCTTGGCATTTCTTAGAAGTGTATGAGACTATTGATAAATACAGACCTTACGTTGGGTATTATCAGATTTGCTTGTGTGTGTGTGTGTGTGTACACACCCAATCTGATGGGAAAGAGTCTGATATCTCAGTTTTTTAAAAAAAAATATACATAGAATCTTTAGCATTTTAACCATATATAAGTGTGGAGTTCAGTGGCATTAAATACGTTCACATCATTGTGTAAACTTCATCACCATCTTAGTCTGTTTGGATTGCTGTAACAAAATACTTTAGACCAGGTCATTTATAGCAACAGAAATTTATTGCTCACAGTTCTGGAAGCTAGAAGTCCCAGATGAAGGTACCAGCAGATTTGGTGTCTGGTAAGGGTTGTTCCTCATGATGGCACCTTCTATGTATTTTCACCTGACAGAAGGGACAAACAGCATATTCTGAGATGGTGGGAGGAGCAAACCGGCTCCCTCAAGCCCTTTTGTAAAGGTACGAATCCCATTCATGGGGGATGAGACCTTATGACCTCATCACCTCCCAAAAGTTTCACCTCTTAATACCATCACCTTGGAAGTCAGGTTTCAACATATAAACTTTAGATTCTTTTATTTTTTTCTAGCCAGTACGGGGATGGAACCCCAGACCTTGGTGTTAAACATATGAATTTTAGAGCAACACAAACATTTGGACTGTAGCACTATCTATACCCGTAACTTATTTTTTTTTTCCTTTTTGTCTTTTTTACTGACCGGTAACAGGATCACAACCCTCGGTGTTGCGCCCGCATCACACTCAGCCAGTGAGCGGGAACCGGTCTCCACATGGGATCCGAACCCATGGCGGAAGCACCGCCGTGCTCTCAAGCGGCGCACTCTCCGGTGCGCCACCGGGCCAGCCCTATACCCGTAACTTTAAAAAATTATTCTCAAACACAAAACTCTGTACCTGATAGCATAGTGCACAGTAGGTAGACAAGAGGCTCTTGAATGTTTTTGCCACAAAGAAATGATAAATGCAGGAGGTGATTGATACATTAAGTACCCTAGGCTGATTATTACACAACATTATATATGTAACAAAACAACAGATTGTACCCCATAAATATGTAGCATATATCAGAATCACCTTCCCTTTTTTTTTTTTTTGGACCGGTAGCATCCACTTACTGGACAATTCCAGGTTGTTTCCTAATAAGATGCAGCCCGTGGCTTTATTCAGGTATTTCTACAGTCCCGCCAGTTAGGGGAGAAGAAAAGGGAAAGGCAGGCACAACCACAGACGCACATATGTTGGGGGAAATGTACTATAAACTATTTTTTCTTCTTTTTTTGGTTATAGAAAAAAACTTCGTTTTCTATGTCTTTTTCATAAGTAAGAGGGGCATAGAAAAAAACTTGTTTTTAATCTGGTATTTATGTATGTCCTCCCATTTCACATGTACAGGTTATTCAAGTAACAGTGCTGTCTACCGAGGCAATACCTAAAAGCCAAAAGAAATACTAGGAAGGAAAAAGTCCTAACAATTGGAAGTTCAAGAAGATACCTTCAGGAGGCTGAGCCACGAGTGGCCAGCAGCATCAGTAGAAGCACACGGTGTGCAGAAAGGTCTTGCCGTTCTTCTTCTCCAAGTCCCGCAGCAGCTCCTCCATCTTGTTGTCCATGTCCTCCTCGAGCTGAAGACACTGGCAGATCTCACAGATGAGGAACGCTCCAAGGGTGGCCTCTTCTTGGTTGTCCTGGATGTCCACGTTGACCACGTGCACTGGCTGGCAGGTCTCCTGTTCTCTGAAAGTCAGATGTTCTACCACCTGGTCGTAGACTCTCTCTTCACACGTGACGATCAGATCAAACACATCGTTGCAGCTCTGGAACCTTTCTGGACGGGGCTTGATTCTTTTATTTCTGTCCAGCATATACAAAATGCCATTCCTTGTATAGAGTTGTTTGTCTTTCTTAAGAAGATCATTGTACATCTGATCATATGTGGTACTGAAATCATAAACATTCGGCTTGTGGGGTGTTGATCCTGGAAGCCTCACGTGAGTTGCTGTTCCAAAGGACCGGACATTGAATCCTCGTTTGCTGAGGACGTTGTGTGCCTCCATGCTCCGATTCTGGTTGTTTGAGCACACCACAGCCACTCTCAGTGCTGACGATCTGCAAGGCGCCCGGAAGTCCTCCCTGGGTCCCCGAGCACCAGGCCTGGGCCAGAGAGGAGGCGCCGCCCCTCAGGCTTCCAGGCCAGCTCCCTGCAATCTGTTCATGTGCTGCCTGCTGGCCAGGCGCCTTGCACCAGCCTCCCGATGTCACAGCGACGTGCGCCAGCGCTGAGAGTCTCATTCCTGTTATGGCTGAATAATATTGCCTTGTATGTATAGATCACATTTTGTTTATCCATGCATTTGTTGATTTGACACATTTGTTGCTTTCACCTTTTGTCTATTGTGAGTAATGGTGCTGTGAACATTGATGTGCTGGTATCAGTTTGGGTCCCCGCTTTTTTCTTTTGTGTGTGTGTGAATTTATTTATTTATTTTTATCTTCCACCAATAAGTGAGAACATGTGCTATTTCTCTTTCTGTGTCTGACTTTTTTTACTTAATACAATTCTCTCAAGGTCCATCAATGTCGTTGCAAATGGCAGTATTTCATTCTTTTTTATAGCTGAGTAGTATTCCATTGTGTAATATACCACACTTTCCATATCCACTCATCTGATGATCGACATTTGGACTGGTTCCAACTCCTGGCTATTGTAAAGAGTGCTGCGATGAATATTGGGAAACAGGTAAACCTTCCACTTGATGATTTCCATTCCTCTGGGTATATTCCCAGCAGTGGGATAGCTGGGTCATATGGTAGATAAAGCTGCAATTATTTGAGGAACCTGTATACCATTTTCCATAGAGGTGCACCATATTGCAGTCCCACCAACAATGTATGAGAGTTCCTTTTTCTCCACAACATCGCCAGCATTTATTGTTCAGAGTCTTTTGGATATTAGCCATCCTAACTGGGGTGAGATGGTATCTCAGTGTGGTTTTGATTTGCATTTCTTGAATGCTGAGTGATGTTGAGCATTTTTTCATATGTCGGTTGGCCATTCGTATATCTTCTCTTGCGAAATGCCTATTTAGCTCTTTTGCCCATTTTTTAATTGGGTTGCTTGTTTTTTCCTTGTAGTTGTTTCAGTTCCTTGTATATTCTGGATATTAATCCTTTGTGAGATGCAAATGTTGCAAATATTTTCTGCTAATCTGTTGGTTGTCTTTTAACTCTGTTAATTGTTTCTTTTGCTGTGCAGAAGCTCTTTAGTTTGATATAATTCCATTTGTTTATTTTTCCTTTGGTTACCCGTGCTTGTGGGGTCATATTCATGAAGTCTGTGTCCAGTCCTAATTCCTGAAGTATTTCTCCTATGTTTTCTTTAAGAAGCTTTATTGTTTCAGCGTGTATATTTAATTTTTAATCCATTTTGAGTTGACTTTAGTGTATGGTGAAAGGTATGGTTCTAGATTCATTCTCCTGCATATTTATATCCAGTTCTCCCAGCACCTTTTGCTGAAGAGGCAGTCTCTTGCCCAGTGTATAGGCTTGGTGCCTTTGTGAAAGATCAGATGGCTGTAGGTGTGTGGGTTGATTTCTAGATTCTCTATTCTATTCCATTGATCAGTGTGTCTGTTTTTATGCTAGTACCATACTGTTTTGGTTATTATAGCTTTGTAGTATATTTAAAAGCCAGGTAGTATTATTCCTCCAGCTTTATTTTTTTTGCTAGTCATTGCTTTGGGTATGTGTGGTCTTTTTTTATTCGATATAAATGTCTGGATAATTCCATTTCTGAGAAAAATGTCCTTGGAATTTTGATGGGGATTACATTGAATTTGTATTTCATTTTGGGTAGTATGGATATTATCACAATGTTGATTCTTCCAATCCAAGAACATGGGATATCTTCCATCTTCTTATATCCTCTCTAATTTCTCTCAGCAGTAGTTTGTAGTTCTCATTATATAGATTTTTCATATCCTTGGTTTACTCAATTCCTAAGTATTTAATTTTTTTGGTGGGTGTTGTAAATGGGCAAGCTTTCTTGATTTCTCTTTCTTCATGTTCACTATTGGAGAATAGAAATGCTACTGATTTTTGTGTGTTGATTTTGTATCCTGCTACTTTGCTGAAATCATTTATGAGCTCCAAGGTTTTTTTGCACAAGCATTAGGCTGTTCGATATATATGATCATGTCATCTGCAAACAGGGACAGTTTGACTTCATCTTTTCCAATCTGGATGCCCTTTATTTCCTTCTCTTCTCTGATTGCTCTGTCTAGTACTTCCAATACTATGCTGAATAGGAGTGGTGAGAGTGGGCATCCTTGTCTAGTTCCTGTTCTTAGAGGAAAAGCTATCAGCCTTTCCCGGTTCAGGATGATATTGGCAGTGGGTTTGCCATATGTGGCTTTAATTATGTTGAGATAGTTTCCATCTATACCTAACTTATAGAGGGTCTTTGTCATGAATGAGTGCTGAATTTTATCAAATGCTTTTTCAGCATCTATAGAGATGATCATATGGACCTTGTGTTTGATTTTATTAATATGGTATATCACATTTATTGATTTGCGTATGTTGAACCAACCTTGCCTCCCTGGGATGAATCCCCCCTGATCATGGTGAATAATTTTATGTATGTGTTGCTGTATTCTTTTTGCTAGTATTTTAGTGAGGATTTTTGCATTTATATTCATCAAGGATATTGGCCTGTATTTTTCTTTTTTGGTTGTACCTTCACCTGGTTTTGGTATCAGGATGATGTTTGCTTCCTAGAATGAGTTTGGGAGATTTGCGTCTGTTTCAATCTTTTGGAATAGTTTGTAAAGAAT